TTAATCCTTGATCATTGTAATAGAAGAAGAAAGGTAGATCGATGAAGGACTAAATTGATAAAATCAGTAGTTAAAGATCCCATACAAATACTATGTCTACGTAAGGGACTAATTGGAGGCTTGCCCAAAATTCCTCGTGAATTCAAACACCTTAATCCCACGCCCCATCTCATTGGAAGTGGAAATCAGGTGCCCCTCTCTCGATAAATTCTCACGCAATTTATATTAAATAGGATCGTCTTCTCTAAAGACCAATTAGGGTTTCTTCAAGCTCTAATCGAGGGAGATAATTGAAACAAAAAATATGTGTGTAATAGCAATATGGGTGGGTTTAGGTCTTGTATGATGAGGAAATCGATTCGAAATCGCAAGGAATTGGAATCAGAAGAGGAATCGGAAATGTTATTTGTGTTCGAATTACGATTCCGTTGCCCGTTTGACTCTTATTCGATTGCTTGTGAAGCTTTCTCTGAAAAACTGTTGCTTCTCCTCAATTCTACTTCTTCCTCTTCGAACCCAATTAAGCCGCTTTGATAGTTTTTTTTTTTTTATTGTGAGTGTCGTTTTCGGTGGCTTTTTTTGTCGTTTTTGTGGACATGGATTTCGGCTCTTTAAGTGAAGATGGCTGTGGAGAGTTCGCAGAGAAAGATCCGACCGGTCGGTACGTTCGGGTATGGATTCTTGTGATTTTTTTTTTAGAGTTTTTCAACTTCAATAAATAGGGCTTTTTTGCAATTTTAATTTATGGTTTTGTAATTCGATTCCCAAATTAGCTGAGTTATTTGTCTTGGCATCGCATTGCATTGCCGCTAAATTGACATAAGCAATGATTTTGGCACGTTAGTTACTGATTTTTATGTTAAACTGGTAAATTTTGCTGTACCCTGTGAAGTGTCAGCGTCTGACGGATTTGAGAATTGTTGAAAAACTGAGTTATTTGCATGCGGTACTAGATATTTATTTGTTTCCGTTCTTACTGCTCCAGTACGATGAAATCCTGGGGAAAGGAGCATTCAAGACTGTGTATGGCTCTTCAATCTATTTCTTCTTAGATTTTTTTTTCCTCTGTAGTTTTGAAGTTTATATAGAAGAACCCATGTGTTAATTTTATTTTTGGTTGGAATTTTTGTTATGATGAGCAGATACAAGGCATTTGATGAAGTTGATGGAATTGAAGTGGCTTGGAATCAAGTGGACATTGAAGATGTCTTGCAGTCATCACAGCAGCTGGAGAGATTGTATTCAGAGTTTCATCTACTGAAGTCTTTGAAACATGTGAACATCATCAAGTTTTATAACTCCTGGGTGGACCATAAGAATAAGACTATTAACATGATCACAGAGTTACTCACTTCTGGGAACTTGAGGCAGTGAGTTTCATTTGCCATTTCTCATGTTTATGTTCTTTGTGTCATTTGTGTTCCAAGTTTGTTTGTGTAATTTGTTGTTATTATGGGATTTAGGTATCGAAAGAAGCACAAGACTGTTGACATGAAAGCCATAAAAAACTGGGCAAGGCAGATCCTTCAAGGTCTACAATATTTACATACTCGCAGTCCTCCTGTCATTCATCGTGATTTGAAATGCGACAATATACTTGTTAATGGAAACAATGGAGAAGTTAAGATTGGAGATCTTGGATTGGCAATTGTCATGCAGCAGCCCATTGCACGAAGTGTCATAGGTAATAGCTTCAATTTCTGAACCATTTCAACTTGGGTCGAACCACTGTGCATTGGGACTCTCTGATTCATTTTCTATTCTGCAGGTACACCTGAATTCATGGCTCCGGAGCTTTATGAAGAGGAATACAATGAACTTGTTGACATTTATTCTTTTGGCATGTGCATGTTAGAGATGGTTACTTGTGAATACCCATACAGTGAATGCAAAAATCCTGCACAGATATACAAGAAGGTCACCTCGGTGAGTTTTACATTGAATTTACTTGCAAGTGCTCATATTGTCATCGCTCCTAACTTCTATTGCAGGGCATAAAGCCTGCTTCCCTTGGTAAGGTGAATGACCTCCAGGTTAAGGAATTCATAGAGAAGTGTTTAGTTCCAGCATCTGTGAGATTGCCTGCCATAGATCTATTGAAAGACCCATTCCTAGCAACTGAAAATTCAAAGGAACTTGTTTCTAGTTTGTTACAGTTACCAAATGTTATTTGCAAACAAGTCCACTTGCCACAATCAGTATCCCATCACATGGACATTGATTGCAAGACGCTGTCATTGGGATCCTGTCCGAAAAGCATCAATGAATCTCCACAGTCTTTAACTATAGAACTTTGTGGGTTCACTGAGAATAATGAATTCAGATTGAGAGGGGAGAAAAACAATGATAATACAGTTTCATTGACTCTGCGCATTGCTGATCCTTGTGGTGAGCAACTATTCTGTAGAAATTAACATCAATTTTTTTTAATTTTTTTTTAACGATGGTCTAAATAATGTTGTTTCTGTAACAGGTCGAGCAAGGAATATCCATTTTACATTTTATCTCAATTCAGATACTGCAGTTTCAATAGCTGAGGAGATGGTTGAACAACTTGATTTGTCTTCTGAAGATGTGGCTGTCATTGCTGAGTTGATTGATAGCTTGATAGTGAAGCTCATTCTTCGCTGGAATACTTCATCAAGTGTACTAAATGGCTCTTCTGAACTGGAAAACCATGCAACTTCTGAGACACTGAAAACACCTGACTTCTCACTGTTGACTAACATTACAGATCACGAGGCTCTACAATCAGTCAATTCAGACATATCTGCTGAATATGATATGGCAATTGCCTCTGATGCCAGTACTAACAAGTCTTCGGGATCATCTTGTTGCAGTCTTCAATCGAATATGTATGATTTGGATTTGGAGTGTTGGATGCATGAAGATGGTATACCAGAACATAACAAATCTGCAAGAACTTCGTTCTTCCATATTGATTCATGCCCTGGTATGTCAAGAAATGCAAGCTTGTCTAGCATTTGTTCTCTGTCCCTTGCCAACAAGGATGGTTCTGAACTGAAGCTGGAGCTTGATTCAATTGATTCACACTATAATCAGTGTTTCCAAGAACTCATGAAGACGAGGGAGGAAGCCATAGAAAATGCCAAGAGAAGGTGGATTTCAAAGAAGATGATTGTTATGTGATGATTACATACACACTTATATTTTTTCTTTTATTTTATCTTTATCTTTATCTTTATTTTTGCTTTAGAGGCTGCTTTTCATATTGTGACGGGTTTTGATTTATTTTTTGGTAGATCCCTTTTTTTTTCATTTTGGCTGATTGGTAATCTCATTCAATTCCGCTTTGATCATTTGTTTGTTTTCTTGTATATAGAGAATTGGGGTTCATCTTAATTCATTGATTAATGGCATGAGCTCTTTCACTTCTTTGCTTTATTATTTGTCAATAATATTTAAGATTTAATGACCATGAAGTTCATGGGGTAACTGATCTGGATTCTCATGTCCATTAACTAGGCAATAGTTGCCATGACTTGGGTTGCAAATCTGAGGGGATAATGATGGCTTTTCTCTGGTGAGTAAAAAAGGGTGAGAGAGGAGTAATCAAGGGGTTTGAGGAGTGGAGTGCGTCAACTTTCTATTTGGTATTATATCTAATGTTGAGTGATTAAAAAGAGTGGTAACGGTTGGGGTTGGAAGTGATTGCTTTAGGAACCCACTTTAATCAGTTTTAGCAGAGGAATTGATGAAGATTTTTGAGCTCCATACTTTTTTTTTTTATTAACTAACCAGGATTCAACGTCAGCTAAAGAGAGAATCCTAGAATCCTCTTGGCATTTTAATTTTTAATTTTTTAATGTTACTAATCATTGTTAATCTCATTTTGATGTGATTTAAGCAAGAGCATCAAAGATAAAATCCGAATAATAATACAAATGGAGGCCCGGTGGATTAAAAAAAATGTGAACCAAAAGCTTTATGCTGTTGTGATTTGAATGTTCAATTTTTTATTCTTATTTACTTGATTCTTTACCCGATAATTTTGTTTAATCCATCAACTCTTATTCTTTCGTTCTGTACCATATTATCTATTTTAATTGCCTTTTATTATTTTCTTGTTTATCTTTACTTGTAACGTTGCATTTTAAATTCAATGTTTATCATATTATTAATAAATGATTCCATGAAGGAATATGTAGCTTGACCCAACTCTTAACCCTGAGATTTTTAACTAAACCTAGGCCCACCGCTTGGCTCCTTGCCCAGTGTCAAGTGTATGGCCGGCGTCTGTTGGCTCAAACACAGAGTTTAATCATCAAATACATGCTTGTACGGCCTAAACCTAATAATTTTTATTAAACTTGATTTTTTTTATCTGAAACTTACTCAATTTATATGTTTATGTGTATAAAAATTTTTTATAACTTATTATATTTTTATTTTATTAATATTTATGTAAAAATATTTATTTATTATTAATATATATATATATATATAATATTTATTCTTGGTTAATATTATCAGGTTAAAATTAAGTGTACTAGTTTTTTGAGTATTAAGTTTGTTTTTAATGTAGAGGTGGTTTTTGCATTTATGATTAAAAAAATAATTAAAAAATATTTTTAATTGTAGTTTTAAAGGAAAATAGATTGAAAAAATATGTGTTTTATTAAAACTTATGTGAGATAAATTCTTGCATATAAAATAAATATAAGTCATGTTTTTGTGAAAAAAAAATGTTATTTTAGCTTCTAAAAAACTAATATTTGAAACATAATTATGTATGAAATCCAGTATAAAACATAGAAGCTATTTAACTAATTAAACAGTTTTATCTCTATGATAGAACAAAAGACAAAAACTACTACAATGCTAAATAATCTGTAACATTAAATTCTTCATAACAAGATTAGAGATCAATCATATTGGGACTGTTATAACTCTCTCTCTCTCTCTCTTTTAATTTGAATCTAAGATGATAGTATGTATAGAAAACAGGAATCTAAACCAATATGGGCAAGCAATATGTCAGTTAAGAAGCAATTCCGAAATATGATGGCTTCCAGTTGTATGATTGCAGTGTTTAAGCCAATTAGCTTCGTAAAGGCGTAACAATTGATTTTCCGTGAGCTAAATGCAGTACAAATACCCCTGTTTAAGAGGGCAATCAGACTAAGTGCTTTCTTCTCGCATTTGATAACCTGTTGATCATGGATGGTACAGTGGAATATCCTGTCAGAAGCAGAAGGACAATTATACCACTACTATTTTTGTTTCTTCCTCAATTATTCACAACTTTGAAAGTCCTTGTTAATTTGTATCTTTTGAATGCCTTCGCAAGTGGAAGTTGCAGCTGCCCAGAACGCATGCATGTGACACGCATTTTTGCACTTCCCTGCTTCATAACTCAAAAGTTTTCTTGGGCATTCAATCTTGTACTAAAATGAAGTTTTTCTTGCAGACAGGCATTTTGCCAGTTGTGTAAGCATCCACAAGCATGGCCAACTGTCTAGAAATGTGACAATCGTCCTCATTATATATGAAATGTGGTTACCAGTTAATTTAAAGTCTGTCCCGCTCATAGAGCGACAGCCACATGCCACTGGTAGAGACAACTACTACATGATCACCGAATAACATGTTATTTTCAAGCTAGCATGAGGGCTCACCATGTTTGATTATGCCTTTTGAGAGGCCGGAACAAGAGGCCGATAAGACAATTGAGAAGATCATTACAAACTTAACTAATAATCCCCATTTTTTACTAAAAGGAAAACATTAAGCTAGGGACAGAGTAAATTTGTTTCGGCATCAGAACATCGGCATTGTTAGTCATGTTTGATGCGCCTTCGAAACTCCCAAGCTGCTAAAACCTCAACTACATTCACATAACAAACATTAATCATGATGGAGAGATTCGAGAGAAATATTAACAATTTATTTACCACCAAGACAACAATCTCAAGTAGAATATCCATACATGGAGCACAAGAATGAGTGTTGAGGAACATCACGTCAATATTTGCAATTCATGAGATTTTCCTGCACAAGATGCACAAGCAACAGCAACCACAATTTCATCCACTTACAACAACATTGGGAAAGATTTGGGGGGGGGGGGGTGGGGGGGGCT